TAAGGAGACAAAGAGCCATACTGGAAGAATTCAGGAAGATCTCCCACATTACTTCGTATACACAACTTTATCCAAGCAGCCTCACTCAATAGACTGAAATCACAGAATCCACCCATTCCAACAGCTACTTAAACGAGAGCAATTTCCAAAACAGAGAGAAATTCGAGAAATACTGGACTGCTAACACACTAGCTATAATCTATAATTTTCTTAACACCAGCCAAATACCTTCGGGGATTGATATGCCTCGCACTATATGGAAGATAGCATGCCGCATACGTAATGGACAAGGAAGATGCGCGGCTTCCTTCTTCAAAGGGGGCGTGGCACCGTCTCCAGACTGAGTGTGAGGCCCCCAGACCGTGCGTCACTTGGAGAGCTGTGAATTAACAGCTTATCGCGGAGACCCGCCGGATTTCCTATATCTGGCACCGACATCAATTGAATGGATTGATAAGCTAAATGTACCCCTTTAAAGAATGTTCTCAGGAATGACTATTTTATTGTTGAGATGACATATTGTGATGTTTAATTTTTATATTGTATTAGTTGTATTGTAAACCATGTGTACTTGCCATGAGATAAATAAAAATAAATCAATCTAGAAAAATGAATTCGGCAAACCTATTAAAATACAAATTAATGAATATTTCATTGGATTTAAGAAAGTCGAAAAATAATCAGCAGAAGGGTTGCATTTTAATATCGTCGAGATCATAAAAAAACAAGGCATTTATTTGTCTAAATGTAGATGTCAAGAAAATGATGGCGCAGCTGTTATGAGTGAAATTTATAATGGTGTTCAGAAAAAAATAGATTAATTTGATAATGCATTGTACTGCTCAATATTTAAATCATGAGTTTAATGATGCTACGTATGTGATATTAGAATTTTAGACATTTTACTGTTTGCTGGGACGAATGAATGTTTTCTTTGGTCATTCATTCAATGCATTAATCGGTGTAACTAATGGATTTAGATAAAGTCTGCAAAGATAAGTGAAATTTAGCAACAAAAGAGTGAAGAAAACGAAACGTCATTATGACTAACTTTTCGAGGATCGACGATTGACTAAGGGCAAACGAAGATAGAAACTTAATGTTAACTATGGATTCCCAGATATTGCCATTAACCACTTGGAGTGTCCATTTATTGGATTAAAATATACATTATCAATTTTCAAAGTGATTTTGCAACGAGTTTTGATAGCTCTTTCAGACGATGAAACTTACGAAGAAGCACAAAAACTTCAATCCAAATTCCCTGGAGATGTCGCGGCTCAGTTATTGTCCTTGGGCATTTGTTTAAAAAGTCAAATTCAAAACTAGGATCTGTTAAAGATCTTGGAAACTAATTAATAATTGAACATTGCTCATTAATAAAAGTTTTCTCTATGTGTGTACAGTATTCACATTATTTTTTGACATTTCCTGTCACGGTCGCCACAACTGGAAGAACGTTTTTCAAAATTAAAACTGATTAAAAATTATTTATGAAGTACAATGTCACAAGACCGTCTGTGAAATTTTAGTATTTTATCAATTAAGCACCAAAAACATGGATAAAAGATATTTCTACTGATATTGATAAATGGCGAAGTTTACTTTTTAAATAACATCATGAAATTGCAAAAATGAGCATTTATTTTCTTATATTATTATATTTTATTATAATTTATTTTATAGTAATAAAGGTTTTCACTCCTAAAATTATGTTTATAAATACGAAATTAAATTAATGACTTATCTTTAATTAAGGGCCCCCGTATTTTGTCGGTTCAAGGGCCTCCTCTGTTAAACTTATCCCACTGATTCCTCCATCAATTAAAGGAACTTGAGGCCCTCTTTGTTTGAAACGGATATCTTGTTTTTTGGTGGCATTTTACATAAAGCCTCAACACTTTCAACTTTTCCCAACAAGTGATTGTGCTTCGACATTACATACTTTCTTAAATTATTTCTAAATTTGCTATTTTCGGAAATTCGGAGAGTTCAGCGGAAATGAGATCTACGCCACTCTTGAAAGTCCCCCTTGTTTTATCCATGAAGAAATTTAAAGAAAACATTTTGAGCGGCTTTTTGAGAAACTGTTTTTTTAATTGCATTAAGTTTAAGCAGAAATTATGCGAAAACGGCTCATTTGTTCACAACATTGTACTTGACCTTTTTTAAAGAGCTGAGATTTTAGAACAAATTTTGTGTCAGGCAAACAAAAATTTCATTGTCCTTTGATACATTTACATACGAAGCAAAAATATAAAGGAAAAAATTGGAGCCGTGTTTGAGAAAATAGCTTCAAGATTGTATTTCACACAAAATTATACAAAAACTACTAAGATTTTTGGAAAATTGCACAACACCTTATTTGAAGGCGTCTTTTTGAAGAACAGATTTCATTCAGGAACAAATTCTATGTTCAATATTGTAGTTGTTTTGTTTTTATTTTACACTTGTCTACTCGTCCATAACGTATTACCTCAAATAACCGCCTCACTTTTCCTATTTAAACATTACGCAAAGAAAAGGGGTAATGTTTTCGGAGAGTAAGGATTACACAATATTTAATTCATGGAAAATACCATTTCAGTAAAAATTCACAAAACACACGAAACTTTAGTAATTATAATTGTACTTTAACCTCGCCTGCAATGCTGTAACGAAGAAGAGCGATATGATTATCAGATTTGTACGTCTTCCATTCTATGCGGTGACCTCCAGCTGTTATCTGCGCATTTGAGCGAGTAATTTGTCTGCAATGAATAAGGTGTGTGCATACTTCTGCCATGTGAGAAAACACAATTTGAAAATATTTGTAAATCTTCCCGCAGTAACTGATTGTTAAGTTATAAAAACTTACTTGCTCACTTTCCTGTTCACAAACAATTGATACTACTGGAAGAATATGTTTGAAAAGTAGTGACACAATCAACTTGTTTCGAAGAGTCGTATCATCAATAGTCACTATGGAAACAGTCTTGTACCAACTTACTCCAATTCATCCGTGGCTTATGAATGGTGGTATGGTACGGTGGCTCATTATTTAAATTAGGTTATTTCTTCAGCTGTGACAAAATAATATGAAAACAAAATAAACGATGTTATGTCATTTCGACATTCTTTCAAATTAATTCCATTAATCATTTTTCCAATACAAATGTTTACACAAGTAAACAAATACAAATTGTTAAAATATCGCAGTTCTGTGTTTGTGTTGTTGAAAACGCTGATATGGTACAGGCAAAGCCTTCTTTTATATTTCGTATTACTCGAAGGCTTTGCCACATAGCTAGAATGACGGAGTGTTGCAAAGCAAGCGTGGAAATGGAAACGGGAGACCAAAGATCAGTGTAGCCGGTTTATTATGTGCACTATTAATACGTGGGTGAGGCAGCGCGATGACGGAAAAGAAGAAAAGTATATCCTCAAGTACAATACAGTTGTTCGGATGCTATAATACTTTCTGATTCATGAAGTGAATCCAGTAAATCAAACAGAACCTCGTCCCCCTCGTACCGCACGTCCCCACCAAGGACCACTCCCCCCATCGCCATCGCCATCGCCGCCGCCGCCACTGGCCACTACTGCTGTCCACCACCACCACGTTCGCCACACCATGGCTGAAGTAGCAGGAGAGCAACTCTCCAAAAAGTAAGATAATTTTTACTTACTTACTTACTGTAAATACATTTTACAAAGCTATGCGTTTTGCACTTTTATGCATTTTCATTTTGTCTGCTAACGAGTGAAACATTAAACTATTATAATTGAGTACGACAGTTAATTTTGTGATCTGTCCATGTGGTTGCACGTATAAGGTTAAGACTGATGCAAGTTCTCGCATTGATATCCTGAATGGGCTTGGAAAATTATTAAACTTTGCTTCAGACTTTAGCAAAGGAGGAGTTGTTAGTAATTGTTATTGTGAAGAAATTCATATTTTCTTGAAAAGTGGAATTTGGCATTGTTCAAGGACAAATAAATTATATTGTATCTAATGGAATTTGAAATTCCATGATTATCTTAAAGAGTAAACTGCCTTTTTACACATTAGTGTAAAAGTTATAAGTTTCATTTTAATCTTGGTTCGAAATTGCTCTCAGGAATTTGCTTTTTTATTTGTCTTCGAAAAATCACTGCCGCTCGCTGGATGGTCATAATTTTACCTACAGATTCTCTAATTGTTAAAGAATTAGGCATAGGAACCAAATTTATCCCAGGAATTAAACCCAGTTTGTTTTCACTTGTTTTACATCCAGGAAATAGACAAAAAAAAGTCTCAAGGAAATTGAAAGGGTATCAATAAAATGAATGTCTTTACTTTTGTTTGTTGGCTTTTAAAATATGTGTTTTAGTAGCTGTCAATTTGTTAAACATTTCATCATTTTATTTCTTTGTTTTTTATCACACATCACAAATTATAAATTATAATATTTAAGTATACTTGTGGTGTAAGAAATCAGAGTAAATTTATAGTTTCCTACAGTGTAATTCAATTACATGTATCTGTCCTTACCTAGAGATTTACCATTTATGCCGTAAACCTTTTTTTAATGTATCACACTAATACATTAGTACTCCCATTATTGCAACATTACTATGCTACTGTACCTCATTACATGTCGTTGCAGATTGTAGACTGCAGCATGGTAGGTCCATGATGATGATATGCAACCCATTAGTTTTGAGGGGCGTTAAGTGGATAACCAGGGATTTGGGGTCATCATTGCAAAGGAGCAGTGTTGTGTCATGTTTTAGTTCAACTAACTCTTTCTGGCAGTGTAGGTGCGTGGATAAGGTGATATTGCTTTTTAGCATTTTTGCCAAAATAACCAACTTCTTCTTTTTTTGAAAAATTAAATTTGGAGTAAATATTTAATATCACTTATTACTGTATCACTTATTTGTTCATGATTGTAATATTTTGTGAAAATGTAAATTGACATGTGCTTAAATTATATTTTTGGTGCTTAACTGAATAAAAAGAACGGTTGGTGTGCTTGTGCAAAATGCTCTATTAAAGTTATGCAGTTCTTAATTAGAAAGCATAGGCAATTTACATGTAGTATTGCATCAGTCACAAAGTTATAGATTTTTAATACTGAGTCTGAATGATTGTGGTTTAAATATTTCAGTGAACTGAAGAGAAGACTGAAGGCAGAACAAAAAGCCAAAGAAAAGTCTGAAAAAGAGAAAACCAAAGTTGAAAAGGAGGTTGTCAAAAAGAAGCAAGTAGAGGAAGATATAAGCCCCAATGTAAGTTTGCAGTATGTTGAAAATGTAAAAAATTTGAAAATCTATTTTTTAAGTTTCATGGATGAAATGTTTTACTGATTTTTTGGAGGATTTTTATGAGACATTCAATGGCTTATTCGACAGACAATTTATAACTGCAGTTAATGAATTAAAACTTATTGTATTTGACCAGATCCTTTTGTCCAGTTGACAAAACAGCATATTAACCTTCTAATAAGTACTATTTTACGCTTACAAACATCACAGATTAATTTATGTGGTGTGTTTTATGACTGCTTTCATCTGCTAATTAATTTTGGGGTGTTTTATGTTTCATTTTCCCTGTTGAGTAAGTTTTTAGATGACCAAGACCAAAAATTAAACACATTTGGTTTGCAATAAGGCTGAACAAATAAATGAGTTTAAATTCAAATAAATGCCTAGTAATTTTAAGACTTGCAGGAAAATTCAAAATGATCTTCATGAAACATAAAAAAGTGAGAGTGGAAAAAATCTTGTAGTGATATTTTTCAGAATAAGCTTATTTAAATTGCATTCAAAACATTGTCAATAGAACTTTTAAGACTCAAAGTTCCAATTGGGAAAAACTTAAGTGATCAAAACTGGATTATGAGAAGCTGATATATTCAATTCAAATTAGAAATATATGCACATGTGAGTGACTGACGAAAGCAGTTAATTGTTTTCTCATATATTGTTGCGCTGCAAAATAATAATTTATTTTTGAAGGGCTTGAAGCAATAAAAAGATAAGCCACACAAGCCTCCCTCTAATTGTAATGTTAATAAGTGCAGGACCCAGGTGTGGGAATACAGCTAGTAGGCAAAAGTCATATTTTTCTGACCCTAAAATGCCAAATATATATGCACTATCTCAATTGAGGAGAAAGCAATCAAAGGGTGACCTGCCCATGTGGCACGCACCTGTTGAATTGTTGTCAATTGTTTTTGCCTAGAATTCTATTTCCAGAATAAAAGGTGATGACTTACAATACATTAAGTAGTACTTTATTTGTTGAGTAAGAGATGGAGTTGGAAAGTATAAAATTTATGCTACATTTTTCATTTTTATGGGAAAAGAGTGAAGTGGATGTGTCACGTTTGGAATGTTTGCTTCTCAATTTTGGTTGAAGCGTCTCATCTTGTTACTGCCTCTAGTCCTTTATAAATATCATCAATTCATAGATAAGAACAAGATATCTCACATTGACCATAATGAAGATATTAACATTTAAGTAGACTTGTGGCTGGTGTGGCTTATCTTAAGACTACCTAAGCCCTTTGTTTGTAAGTGAGTGCTATGACTTGGTGACTGAAAGTATTTGAAATAATTTTCAAGGGTAATGGCCCTCCCTGGTCTTGTCCATTCACACACATATGAAGTAGTTTAATGATTTGAAACTAGTGAGGTTTGGGGTATACTTTCAGTAAAGTAGGATGCAGTTAAAATAAGTGTTAATGTTTGTATTTTTGTTTTTGTTCTTAGGAATATTTTCGCCTTCGTAGTCAAGCTATTGCCCAATTGAAGCAAGCAGGTGATCATCCCTATCCCCACAAATTTCATGTTTCAATATCATTGGAGGATTTCATTGAAAAGTACAACCATGTTAGTGATGGAGAAGTTCTCAAGGAAGAAGTCAGTGTTGCAGGTATGCTATAAGGTGATGTAAGGAACCACCTGATCAGTCTTGTTAATAAAATCAGTCTTGTCTTGTTAATGTTGTATCGTCTTCAACATGGCTTGCACATGATATAACATGATGCAATGCAATATGCCAGTAGTGAATTATCACATAATTTGACATGATACATCAGTCTTCACTTTGAACAATCGGATGGTATATAATAGTATATTCATATACTATTCTATGAACAGTGGGTAGTACTGTTATATGAAATAGTTAAAAAAATGTATTAAACTTTACCAAACATTGGGAAGTTGGGGAAAATGTAAACAAGCTTTCAATAGAACTTACTAAGTCCCCTGTTACTAGATTCACCATTCTCATTTAAAAAAGTATTCACACACTTGCTCATTTTATATAAAGGTGCATTTTCTGTGAGTCGAGAATTAGTAGAGTGTACATAATGGTCGGTAATACTTTGTATTGTGCTAGGAACAAAATGGAGAATATACAATATTATGTAGTATCTTGAGTAGATAGAGCTTGTAGAATATTTCTGAGGCTGGCTAATGTTTGCAAATCAAAGGGTTGATGTAGATATGACATCTGCCCCCCAAGTTTCAGTTTTACAAAAGTTCAAATATTTGACAAAACAATGCTGCATTATACAATACCAATAATCAATCTTCGCTCATCAGGTGACCATCGTTGAAAAGATATGTATAAAACATCTGAGTTATTGTTGTAAAGAGATGTATCCAATCAACGTGTAATAAATAAGACTTTAAAATTTGCATAACAATAGTTGAGTGACTTTAAATTAGATGGTGGGCAGAATTTTTATTTAAAAAAAATTATTATTTGTTTACTTAATGGATATTGACTTATACTTAATAGTTGGGTGTTCTATTTGTTATAGATGATAGGAATCAATTTTGAATAATTACAGAACCTTTTTCTCACTACTGAAAAATTAGTTAAGGAGACAATTATTAGAATTTCAATTTAGCTATGTTTGTACCCTAGGCAGTGTGCAGTTCACATTATCTCTTTTATTAAAAGATCGTTCATTAAGTCTACCAGAATTAACATTTTCAAATCTAGAAATCTGTCCTCAGACATAAGCTCTTTAAAGGTGGTGTCAAATGCAGTAGAATCAGTCTGAAATGGAATAGTCCATATATCACAATAATAAGTAATGATGACGAAACAAGCTTAATTTTTATTCACAATGTCAAAGTCAGAAAACAGGTTTATCATCTGAGAAAAATAAATAATGTTATATAGCAATTTCTTCAGAACAATAAATGCCACCCCCAACCCTTCAATCACATTTCGCATTTAATAACATTGTGTGTGTTCAAATCCATAAATTCACATAAATGCACTTCAGGTTTAAGCCAAGTTTCACTTTAAAATATAAATATATGTATAGAACATCTTTTATTTACGCGAAGGTGATTTGATATCTTTAGCTGATATCAGTATAATTATAAATAATAATTATAAGGGTGTATCCTGAGAGAATGTGATAAATAAATCTTGTGATAATTATACTTTTATTATAATATAATATGCAAAACATTTTTTAATTTTCTCTAATAGTTTTTGAGATATCAAAATATTTATTACTTTTTTTCGTAGTCGATATAAAATGTCCCTTGTAAAGCAATTTTAATTTTTTTCAAGTTGATATTTTTAATTTAGGATTCATAAAATCATGCTGGCTTGGAACAGATTTTGTTTAATTAATTTTTAAC